TATTTTTCAAAACAAAATCTCACTCTGTTGCCTAGGCTTGAGTGCAGTGGCGCAATCACAGCTCACTGCAGCCTCTACCTCCCAGCCTCAAGCAATCCTCCCACCTCAGCCTCCCAAGTAGCTGCGACGACAGGCCACTGCACCCAGCTGACTTTTTAATTTTTTGTAGAGATGGAGTCTTGCTATGTTTTGCAGGCCATTCTCAAACCCCTGGGCTCAAACGATCCTCCTGCCTCAGCCTTCCAAAGCGCTGGGGTTACAGGCATGAGCCACCGCGCCCAGACAGCCTGCCTGGTTTCTCCCAACGAGGGTATTACCTTTGCCCAACCCATGTTTAGAGGGCCTTTAGGATATCAAATCCAGAATGTGGTGAAGCATTCGAGAAGTGGATGGGAGAGGAAAGCGAATTAAATAAGCGTCGTGGTGCATTCTGTGTCCTCTTTGTGATTTTGAAAGACGCCAATAAAAGGCACGAGCTATTTTTGAATGTTTGTAGGTTACTGAACTGCATTTATTTGACAAAGCACCATTTTTGAGAGGGGAGCGCTTGGGTTACAGCTTTAATAGAGTTCCATTATCTGCATGTTTACTCCACCACCCTCTCCTTCAAGACCGTGAGCTCTCAGAGAGCAGAGGTTAAGTTGAATTCATCATTGTCTCCCCAGCACCCCGACCTGGCCCTGAAGGAGGGTTAGTAAATGTGGAAACAGAAGAACGGTTAGTGACCTGGGGCTTGGACAACTGATGCCACCCTCATCTCTCTTCCAGCAAGGGTGTTCTCTCTCCCGCTCTTCTGAGACGCTGCTCACAGTCGGTCTGTCTCTTTCTGTCTGGTTGCAGAAGGCAGATCTGGCCGTGGCCCCCCTGACCATCACCCATGTTCGAGAAAAGGCCATTGACTTCTCCAAGCCCTTCATGACACTCGGTGTGAGCATCCTGTATCGAAAGCCCAATGGCACCAACCCCAGCGTCTTCTCCTTCCTCAATCCCCTGTCCCCAGACATCTGGATGTATGTGCTCCTCGCCTACCTGGGTGTCAGCTGTGTCCTCTTCGTCATCGCCAGGTAAGCCAATTCCTTGGCCAGATGTCGGGCCCAAGGTTGAAGGTTTAGGGGCCAGGCAGGTCCTCACCTCCTCAGCCCCTGGCACAGAAGGCCCAAGGCCCAGGCCACCACTGTGCCCAGTCCTCTTCCACTCCCCGTGGCTCAGATTCCTTTGTATCCCTCAGGGAACATTCCATGCCTTGCCCCTCCCTGGCCCCGCACTTGAATCACGTGGTCCTCACCCCGGTCTGTTTCTGTGACTCTGAGATGCAGCAGTTGCACCTCAGGTCCCATTAGCAGGCTTGAAGAGGTCAAGTTGGTGCCCAAAGCTGTACCACCTGAGCCAGGCACCTGGTACAGCAGACCCAGGGCACTGGGTGGCCCAGCGGATGGCCTAGAACTTGGAAGACAGGTGAGTCTATCGAAGCCACAACAGCAGGGGGAACAGTGCCCAATTAACCCACACCCATCCCCACATGCAGAAACGTGGCACACATGCACACATCCCTGTCTGGGCTCCATGCTAGCAACATGTGTGCACATTTGGTTGTTCAGATAAAGTAGACATAGCGCAGCCTTGCTGGTGGGTGGTAGGAAGAGGTCACTAGGGGCAGGTTTAGCCCGGTGTTTGCTGAACGCCTGGTGCTTGCCAAGCACTGTGCTCTGCGCTTTGCAGCCGTTATCTTATTTAATTCTCCCAGCCTCCCTTGGAGGCTCGGAAAGTCTCACCACTTGCCAGTCATGCAGCCAATAAGTGACACTTGCTGCATTTGACCATGGGGGTCACCAGGCCTTTTATCTACGACCCACACCTCCGTCCAGTAGTCCGCCCCTGCCCCGGGTTGGTGGCTGCGGGGGCCAGCTCCCTGCCCCTTTCCAGCTGGGCCTTCTGCCTTCTCCCTTGGGGCTCTAGCTCCAGCCCCTGATCTGGTCCTTTTTTTTTCTCTAAATCCTAACAAAGTACAAAGAGAGACTTCTCTGGAGAGGGAATTTGAGATCCAACGACTTGGCGCTTTCTGCCTTTTTTTCTCCGGAGCCTTCTTTCAAAGCCACCCTCCCCCTACTTCGCTCCCTTCCGCTGCCTCCCGCTGCCTCCTCCCTCACTTCGAGAGACCAAAGGGAAGGCTGCGAGCCATGAAATATCCTGCTTCCCGAGCCCTGTGCTGCCGGAGGCTTGGAGCTGCCGGGGCTGCACTGCCTGGTGGGCACAGCAGCCGCCAAGCCTGCCACCGAGAGGCCTTCATCACACCTCTTGTCTCTAATGGTCTAACAAGGCTTTGAAAGCCAGGGGCCACTCTACAGAGCTCGAACCACGATTTCAGCAGCTCCCGCGGTCTCTTGGCTCCCACGGCCTCCGGCTTTTCCAGCATCTGTTCTGCCCTTTTGATGTGTGTCCCATCCCCGTCTCACTGCTGGCCCCTCGCCAGCTGCCGGCAGCCACGCCTGCTTCCCACCCTGACTCCTGCCTGGGAAGGTGAGAGCCTTTTGCCCAAGGTTAGGCTGGGAGACTTTCTAGAAAAGATGGGATTCCTAGAGCTGCTGGAATGATAGGAGGCCCTGAGAAGAGAGGAGATGGACAAGAGTTTTGGCAACAGAACTGGGAAGAGCATCAGAGGGCGCTTGTCACCTCACTCAGCACCACACAACACCACTCACACCTGTCTTGAGGCGGGTATAATTATCCCTGGTTTATAGAAGCAGAAACTGAGGCTTGGAAGATTAAGTGAATTGCCCAGAATCAGAAAGTGTTTCTTTGGCAGTGTTAGGCTTCAAACCCAGACCGGTCTAACTTTATATCCACGGTGACAAATGCAAGTGCCTGCCAGGGCCAAAGGGAGTGAAGCAGGCGTAGGGACAGGCAGCAGGGAGTGGTAGGGACTCAGGCACCCTGTACAGCTCACCTGGCTGAAGGGGGCAGCCACTGCTCAGCTCCAACACGTTGTACCAGGCAGAGACACAGGACCAATGTTGCAGAGCTCATGATTTTGAGAGAGAGATTGAGACTTTTATGTGATGTCTCCCTGTTTTTCTGTGTGGGCCAGCAGTCTGATTTTTTATAACACTGGCAGGGTCAAGCACAACATACCTGTAGGGTGAATGTGGCCATCTCCCCTTCACTCCCGGCAACCATGCCCACTGCTGGAAATCTGAACACAGCTGCCCACACTCGCAAGAGGTGGGGCCTGGGAAGGGTGGGCAGGTCCCCAGGTCCACTCTGGGGCAACTCCAGCTTGGCACAGGACTGTCCATCTTGCACACTTGCCTGGCCTGGTCTGTTTGGCCCACATCAGGGAACAGGCATTGCACAAGGTCTGTCACCAGGATATTCTGCTTCATGCCCGGTGAGGTAGGAGGAAACAGGAAGGGCACAGAGGCTGCTTTCTCACCACAAAGAGCAGGACAGTTGGCACTCATGACAGTGGATGATCCTAAGTGCCTGACCCAGGAGACAGGGCTGAGGGTGAGCAGCTCCGCCAGCTCCTGGGAGCCATGTTGCAGCCAAATCTGGCACAGATGAGTATCCCGGGAAAGCAAGAGCTTCGGCCGCAGGGGATGCCCTGTCTATACCTTCACACTCCAGCTGCAGACAGAGTGTAGTCTCCTCTGTGGAGACAGAGCATCTCCAGGTCAACTTCTAACTCCTATTTACTAAGATTGGAGAAGCCCTTGCAGCCACAAGCTACAAATCCAAGATGCACCATTAACTCCAGGTGACACCTTCCTTCCTTGCCCAGCCACTATTCCACTCCTATTTTCTCCTGTGGCCGAGGAGGGTTAGAGCCTAGATGCTCTGTACCACTGACTGCAGGATCCTGGTGGCCTCTGCATCTGTAAAATGGACACCCCGCAAGCTTTCACCTCTCAGTAGGCGGTGAGGACCCCAGCCTGTAACAGCATTTGATAACCAAGAAGCCCGTTCTAGAACCAGTTATTCTTATCATGATAAGCAGTTCCACTCCCGGAACTTCTCCTGTTGAAACATCACCATTGAGCCATACTTTAGCATTCTCTCAAATCTAGAACGCCTTTGCAGCCAAGCCCCAGAGTACAAGGCCACCTTTGGGCATCAGTGCCCACAGAGGTGTGTCCAAGGATGCTTTTCCAGCAGAGCGCACCATATAGTTGGAAAGAGACGACAGCTTAATTGCCCATCAGTCCAGGCATGGTTAGAAACACTTGTGGAGTGGTTACAGAGCGTGAGGTAGATCTGGAAGAACTGACCTGCAAAGAGGTTGGTGACATTAAATGAAAAGCCAAGTTCTCGGACAGTATAGTGGTATGATAAGGGATTTTTTTGCATTGAAAAATACCATGTATGTCATATTTGTGTATGTGTGCCCGATACATGTAAAGAGCAGGACACAGGAGATCTCATCAAAAATCATCTTTAGTTTGTCTCCTACCCACCTTCCAGGGTGTTCAGAGGTGGACACTCTCCCCGTGGCTCCCCTCTGGCAGGGCCTCCCTTGGTGGCCCACTCCCCACTCACGCCCCGGTCCTCTAGCAGCCTGTGCCCCATGACCTTGTCCTGCTGGAATCCTATTGTCCTTCTAGGATGGGAGTCAAGGTCGGCCTGGGCTGGATCTGTCTTCTGCATGGGTCCATCTGGTCCAAGGGAAGCACTGTGGACCCAGTGTCCTGAGTCCTGGTGGTGTCTTGTCCTGCAGGCCAATGTCATACAGCAGGGACTCTCCCGGCTCCACCGGCAGAGCACCTATCCGCCCAACCCCTGGCCTTCGGACTTTCCAGGTCTGTCTCCTCAGTTACAGGGCCAGGCACTAAGCTGCCCTGCCTCCTGGGAAGCCCTATCCCTCGACTTGGTGGAGAAAGTGGGGACTCCAGACACCCAGCCCTTCAAAGCCTCTCTCCAAAAACCCTTCTCGCAATAGCCTCTCATCTCTGCTTTCTCGATCCCAGATCTCTTCCCTGTGGATTTTAGAGCCTCTAACCAGTTTGTGGGCATTTTCTTTGAAGATCCCTGTCTTGGTTTGAAACCTTTCTTTGGAATTTCCTATTTGAGGGATCTTCCCGCTTCATGAAAATAAAATTCTTTCCACATGAGCACTGGTAATCAATGTATAATATATTCCAGTTTCTAGAAGGGAGACAGAAAAGAGACGTCACAACATCACACTTAATTGCATTTTAAAAAGCAAAACGAAATTCCAGTGGACTTGTCTCTCCTTCCAGGTCTGTCCTCTCAGCATCCTGAAACCTCCCCCACAAACCTAGAGAACATGTCCCCAGCCAGGGTCCCTCAATGTCACAAGCTTCTTCAAATGTAGATAGCCTCAACTGGAACTCACGCAGTAAACAAAAACTCCCTTCAGTAATCAGGACTCCTCGTCCTTAGAAGGCAGTAGGGAACTTGAAGTAATCCTTCTTTCCCTGTCATATATGTATTTGTATATTTAAAGACAAAAATCTAAAAAAATTATATAACACATTGTTCTCTCTGAGGGATAGGATGTTGGAGTGCATTCCCTTTCAGATTGTATTCTTCTATACTGTCTGAATATTTTATAAAGCATGTCTTCTGCTTTTTTTCCATTTTAAGGTTTTTTTATTATACCCAAAATTCAATACCATGTTCTTAGTTTTAAAAATTTATATAATGCATATAGAGCAATAGGCCTTCCTGAAATTCCTTCTGCTATTTTGATGCCCCTCCCCAGAAGTAAACACTGATATTTTTGATAGAGAGGCCCTTTCAGACCCTTTAGCATGCATTTTTGTATGAGTACACATAAAGCACTGAATAGTTATTTCTTCGAGAATCTATTTATGTAAGTGTGGTCATGTTGTTCTTATTTTCTATTGCCTTTATTACATTGCTTTTAATATTTTTATTGCTTAGATCTTCAACAATATATGTCCCATTGGGACATCTCCAGTATCTCGTTCACTTTTAACGGCCACATAATATTTCACAGTACAGTGGTGGCATCGTTTATTTAATCATTCCTCTGTTGAAGGACATTTTGGTGGTTTCCAGTTTCTTTGAGATTACAAACTGCACTTTGATAAACACCCTTATGTGCTTCTCTTTACACCCATGTAAGAGGGTTTTTTCTGGGGTGGATAATGAGTTGCAGAATTGCGAGGCTGAAGGGCATGTGCGCTTTTAATTTTAAGAGATGCTGGTGAATTACCTTTAAACCAGCAAATGGCACTAACAATAAAGAATAAGAAGAAATGTGGCCCGATCTCCCCTGCCCGGCCTCTCAGCAGAACCATGAGAATATTGATGCTGAGGCTGCTGCCCCAGCCGTGTTTGCTAAACCACTACCTGCTGGGGCGTGGATGCCCCTTGCTTCCCAGGCTGACTGTCCCTCTCCTACTATGGCAGGTTCAGCCCTTATGAATGGTATGATGCTCACCCCTGCAACCCTGGCTCCGAGGTGGTGGAAAATAACTTCACTCTGCTGAACAGCTTCTGGTTTGGAATGGGATCACTGATGCAGCAAGGTATGCATCCTCTCCCAGGGCCTCCCGGTCCAGGGTCTCCTTTCCCCAAGGGGTCTTCAGCCTCTTTGGTATCAGCAGAACTAGCCCACACCTCCAGGGGCAGCCTCAGACCCTGATGACCCAGCAGAATGTTGGAAACACCGAGATACCCAGGATACCCAGGTGTGTGCCCTTGGCCCAGACCCCCAACCTCCACCTCCACTCTGGCTGGAGCTGGCTCAGGGTCTGAAGCTAAGAAACCCACCCAGCTCACGGCATGCGGGAAACATTCCCCCGCCTCCTGCTCCAGCTGAGGTGGACGTAGAGCACCCTGCTGGCCGCGGCTGACCCCACCCATGGCCTCATCACCACACAATCCGGCTGTGCAAATTGGGCTTGTGGATGGAAGGAAACCAGAGGCAGGGAGGCTGCAGAAATGGGGTGATGAGACCTGAGCCAGGTGGTGGCCCTGGGAGTGGAGGGCAGAAATGGACTAAGAGAGCTTCAGAATACGCTGTGGATGGGACTCCATGGCTGCTTGGCTGTGAGGCGCCTGGGAATAGGAAGGATCATGGCTGGGTTGAGGACTTCAGCCTGAGTGCATCAAAGATGAGGTACACAAAAGGATGCAATTTCCCAACTGTCACCGAACAAAGAAGATGGACAAAAAAGCAAGGTGAGGCTCCTTGGTGACAGTTGGGATGCAATTCTCTTACATACTCTGGACGGAAGGCCAATATGATTTGGAAATATCTGCAGCTACTCAAATGTCTCAGAAAGCAGAGCACCTGTTCCAACTGCTGGGAGTGAGATGCAGAGATGGCAGGGAGCAGGAGAGCAGGTACAGGGAGAGGGACCACCAGCCAGGAGAGACCCCCGAGGAGGACACCACGCCTCAGTCCTGCTGGCCACAAGCCATGTGCTGATTGCCTCTGCCAGTGGAGTCCCATGTCCAGAGCCTCTTACCTTAGGGAGTGCAGACAAGTCTCTGCCTTTTAGAGTCTCACCGAGGGACCTACCTAGGGGGCAGGCAGAAAGGGGCTTCAAGGGACAGAGAAAACATCCTTGTCCCTCAGTCATCTGCGTGTAACCTACACAAACCCTGGTCCTCAGTAGACCTCCATCAGCAAATGCCCAATGAATGAGTGAATGGTGTTATCCCAATGTGTCCTGGGCACTCACTACATGCCAGGCTCTGTGCTGGGCACTTGAATGAAGGAGGAGAGGAAAAAAGCAAATCTTTCCCACATGCAAGAAACCTCTCCACCATGGCAGAGGCCAGGGCTGGGACTTGGGCAGAGGTCTGGCGGGCCTGGCAGAACTCACCAATCAAGCAACCGAAGTAAGCTACTCTCCCTCTGGGAGCAGCTCAAAACCTGGTTTGGAGCAACCTGGGGAGGCTGGGAGTGGCCGATTGAGGAGGGGACATGGAGCCTCAGTGATCTCCAGCAGCTAGGAAGTGACAGGCAGCTTCCAGGGGAAGTGTCTCAGTGTGTCCTTGCTATTAATGAGTGTCTTGGAGCCTCACTTTGCTTTTTTGTCCATCATCTTTGTTTGGTGACAGTTGGGGAAGACCTGGAAGCCCCTCAATGCAGTAATAACTTCTCTTCTTCCACCTCCTGCTGCTATTCAAAGCACTGGCCCCTGATGTATTCTCCGTGTGGTTTTCATTAGGAGGGAGAAAAATACTTATGTATTTGAAAAACTCTCCTTTGAGTGACTTCTTTGAGAAAAAAATAATCATCCATATCAAAGCAGATGCCTTTCAGATTGCAGGTCCAAATATTCTGGAAAGTTCAGGAGTCACTTGCAATTTAAATCTCTTCAAAGCCGCCTAGTTAATTACTTCAGTTAGAAGGTGTCGTCTCAATTGAGCTCCATACCTAAGGTTGGGGAAGAAAAGTGATATATTTCAGCAAAGAGCTTCAAAAAGTGTTGGTTTTTTTCCCTCTTGCAAAGCACCACATAGCAATCGTGTATTTGTATACCATTTGTATTTCCAAAGCAATTTCTTCTCAAATTATATCATTGCAGCACCCACAGTATTTATGTGAGGCTGGGACAGAGGAAGGATAATTCTTCATGTTTGGCAGAGTCCCAGAGAAGGGAAGTATGAGGCATAAGACCACACAGAGAGTTGGGAGCAGGATTCACTCAAGAATCCTGGGGTCCTGACTCCCAGGTGTTCTTAAGCTGGGACTGCATAAGTGGTCCACAGTTAGGCATCTGAGGTTTTGATGAGCCTGTGAAATGTGAATGTGTGTGTTGTTCTAGAAGAGTGATTCTTAAATTTCAGCCTGCATCAGAATCATTTGGAGAGCTTACTCAAAACATATTGCTGGGTCCCACCTTCAGAAATTCAGTGAGTGCTGGGGTGGGACCCAAGAATGTGCATTTCTATCAAGTTTCCAGGTGATGATGTTGCTGCTGGTCAGGGACAACACCTTTGAGAACCACGGGTCTTGGGAAAGGGGCTTAGCTTTCACTAGAATATCAGAGGAATCCCTGACCCAAGGGACTTGAGCAGCTGGCCTGGATGCTGTACGGCACTGCCTATCTCCTCTCTTCGCCAGGGTCTGAGCTGATGCCCAAAGCCCTGTCCACACGCATCATTGGTGGCATCTGGTGGTTCTTCACACTCATCATCATCTCCTCCTACACGGCCAACCTGGCTGCCTTCCTGACTGTGGAGCGCATGGAATCACCCATTGACTCTGCTGATGACCTGGCCAAGCAAACCAAAATCGAGTATGGGGCTGTCAAGGATGGGGCCACCATGACCTTCTTCAAGGTGAGGCCCTCTCCCTCCTATTGCAGCACCATGAGCTAATCCTCTCCGGACCCTTTACTGAGCAGAAGAGGAAAGGGAGTCTCTGTCCTTCCCTAATCGCACGTGGCCAATGGGTCAGAAGCCCCCAGGGCTCAGCCCCGCCTTGTTAGGACTAGTTGACTTTGGGGAGCTTCGGTGATGTGGGTCAAATGGGTTGGCCTCAGAACAAATCCTAGAAGTTTCTGTGCCCGAGATGAGCAATGTGAATGTGTTATGATTCCTTAAGTCATCAAAGGGAGACGGGTGGAGAGAGGAGCCTGGAGAAGCGGGAAGGAGGGGAAGAGTGGCCCAGACACACAGGCCTGGGGCCAGGGGGCTCCCTGCCCTTGGCTTCAGGCCTCAGTGCCATCCATCTCGAGGAAGCCAGCCTGAGGTTGGGGAAACAGCAGCAGGGCCAAATCTTGAGAGGAAGGGAGGAGGCTTAGAACATGAACAAGTGTTTACAGACATTACTGAGCATGTTACATTCTAGGAATGCTGGTGTCAGCAGATAAAGTCCCTGTCACCTGCCCAAGCGACTGCTCTAATGGGTGTCTGGCCATGATTTCATTGCTCCTCCTGCTCTGTGAAGTGTTGGCTCAGTGCCCTACTGTTTCCCACCTTCTACTGGAGTAGCTGAGGGCTTAGGAGACTCTGGCTGGCCCCAAGAACCAGAAGCTGCAAAGGCCCTCCCAGAAATTAAAGTCACCATATCACTAGCTACTGCCACTGAGATGTCACAGTGGGCCATGCACTGTGCTAAATGCTGAGCCTCATTTAACCTTCGTGACAAACCCTGAGAGGCTGGTACTCAAATTATTTCCACTTTGCACGTGTAGAAACTGAGTCCCAGAGCAGCAAAGTGGTTTGTCCAGGGACTCCCAGCTGGAGGAGCCAGGAGGGACCCAGGCCTGCCTTCTTGAAACCCCTTTTCGAGGCCATTGGTTCTTAGACGTGCGTGTGGATTCAGATCACCTGGAGGACTTGTGATAACACAGCTTGCAGGCCCCACACTCTGAGTTTCTGATTCTAGATCATCTAGACCATCTAGGTCTAGATGGAGCTGAGAATGTACATTTCTAAAAGGTTCCAGAGTGATGCTGCTGCTGCTGGCCCAGGCTTCATGCTTGGAGAATCACTGCTCTAATTATTTCTCTGAAATGATTAGGATTTGGGAACTCTGTGGCTGCAGGCCCACTTATTTATATGTTTTTCTATTATTCAACTGCTCTCAATCAACCTGGAATGGAAGCCTGGGGTATTTTCCTTTCCTCTGGGCTCCGATTCCCCATTGCCCACCCCTGCCTCCTCCTAGGCTAAGCCTCTGAGTGGTAGGTGGAGCCTTCAGTGGGGCCTCAGTGAAGAGAGAAGGAAGGGATTGGGTAGGAAAGACTTCTACCTACTGGGCACTGCAGCCCCCCAGCACTCTCTCCTCTCCCTGCCGCCCAGACCCCACCATGTCATTGAAAGCACCTTTATAGTGAAGAGACAGTGAGTGAGGAAAGGAGCAACATCCAACCCTCTTGGATGTTGCTAAGACAGATGTTGGTTGACTTGCCTAAGAGATCACTACCGTGGATTTAAAGTGAGGGGAAGATAACAGCGTTATCATGGGACTCCGTGTTTCTGTCTGTGAGTGAGTAGGTGAGGATGTGTATACATGCATGGCTTCACATGTGCATGTAGCAGTATAGGATATGTGGGAATGTGTGTGTATGTGTGCACACGTGTGGCTGTGCACAACTTTGCCTGTGTGGGGACATATGTGGATTTCTGCTGGGACATGTGTCTGCATCTATGTATATGTGTGCTTGAACATATGTGTGATGCATCTCTGTGATCTGGACACCTGCTTATGAATGTGTACAAGTATATACCAGAGGGTCTACATGTGTATGTGTGCAGAGAAAATACATGTGTCTGTCTGCTTGAATATCCTCATGGGTGTGCCTAGATACGTGGAGGGCAGATGGACCTGTGTGTGTAATGGCCAGTGCTGGCATGTGTGTTTGTATGTGTGTATACTAGCCTTTGTGTGTGTATGCTTGTGTAATGGCCTATGCATACATGAATCTGTGTGTGTGTATGTGTGTGTGTGTGTGTGTGTGTGTGTGTATAATGGCCCATGCATGCATATGTGTCTGTGTGTGTGGCAGGGCTGTGTTTGTGTATAATGGCCCATGCATGCATATGTGTCTCTGTGTGTGGCGGACTGTGTTTGTGTATAATGGCCCATGCATGCATATGTGTCTGTGTGTGTGGCAGGGCTGTGTTTGTGTATAATGGCCCATGCATGCATATGTGTCTGTGTGTGTGGCAGGGCTGTGTTTGTGTATTATGGCGCATGCATGCATATGTGTCTCTGTGTGTGGCGGGCTGTGTTTGTGTATAATGGCCCATGTATGCATATGTGTCTGTGTGTGTGGCGGGGCTGTGTTTGTGTATAATGGCCTATGCATGCATATGTGTCTGTGTGTGTGGCGGGGCTGTGTTTGTGTATAATGGCCCATGCATGCATATGTGTTTCTGTGTGTGGCGGGGCTGTGTTTGTATATAATAGTCCATGCATGCATATGTATACGTCTGTGTTTGTGTGTATAATGTACTGTGTATGTATGTATGTCTACATGTGTGTGTATGTGTGTGCACACAAGTCTGCCTGCTCGTGCCATCCCCAGGCTATGGCCCAGCCCTTTGACTGTGCCAGAGCACCTCTCATGCATAACACATGAGCCCATCTCTAAGCAGGGCTCCCGATCAAAGGGAAACAGCATAAATAAGCCTGCTGCAGGCTCATTGCCGCTGATTGGATGTCCTTGCCTCCCTCCATGCTAAGATGCTCAGATTGGCTTCCAAGAGCCTAGTCCCAGCTCCCCACCGAGCTCCTGCCCCCAGCATCAAGCAGCACCTCCCACACCCTCCTGTGCCCTCACCCACCTTCTCTGCACATGGCACAGCAAGGAGGGCAGAGGAGAGACACAAATGCTGTCACCTAGCTGGGATGCCAGGGCTCATGGGCTCATGTTTACAGAGGTCTGTGGGTCAGAAACAACAGCTGCACACCCCCTGCATCACCAAATCCACTTTCTTGCTCTCCCGATGGTCAATTAATTCCTCTTTATGCCTGGCCACATTGTCTCCTGCCTTAATTCTAGTGAAGCTCTCCTTGGCCCAGGCTCCCTGTCATCAGCAGCAGTAATGGGACTGTTACTTCCGGGAGAGGAGCCTAAATGTAGATACAGTAACCACCCCCCTCATCAGATGAACTAGAAGCACTACATCCACCCTAAAGGTCCCTGGACGAACCGATCCCCTGCCTTCCCAACCCCTGCCCTCTGTAGTTGGACTTCCTAGTTAGACCTTCCCCCCAGCCAGGCGATAGCCTCATGATTAGCACAGAATGTTTGCAGGTTAGAGCTGGAAGGAGACCTGAGATTAACCTAGAGAAACAGGCCCTGCCCATCATCACACAGCAGATCACTGGTGGAGCCGAGTACAGGGTCAGACATTCTGTCTTCACACCCAGTGCCTCTCCCACATTCACTCCAGGGTCTTCTCCTGGAGAGGTGGTCCTCCCCTGCCTAAGAGGGTATATGGCAAGGCTGCACCACTGTTGAACAGGAGGCAGGTCCAGGAGGAGCTATCAGATATCTAGGAGACATTGGCAGAGTCAACAATAACAGTAACGCTAAATGAACATTTATTTTGTACCAGGCACCATTCCAAGCACTTTACCTGTATTCACTTATAACATCCTCCGCAACAGCCCTGAAAGCCTTGGATGACATCATGTGTCGTCTCCATTTGACACATGATAAAAGGAAGGCCCAGAGAGGCTAACTGACTTGCCTAATGTCCCACAGCTAGAGAAATGCAGAGCTGGGATTTGCACCCAAGCAGTCCAGCTCTAGTGCCTATGCTCTTGGTAGCTGCGTTCATATGGCTTCTCTAAGGGCCCAGCCACAGTTCTCAGGAGGCAGCTGGGGAAAAGTGAAGCCACAGTCAGTTGACCACATACCCAGCCCTGCACAGTCCTGGCACGTCATAGTTGCTCTAATAATACGTGTTGAGTGGATGCCGTTGTTGAATGAAAGGATGGGATTTAAAGATGGCGGCAGCCAAGTGGCACAAATCCGGGAGACAAGGTCAAGGACAGGAACCGAGCGGGTAGCCTGTCTCAAAGGCCCGAAGTACAGGACGGATGAACTTGATTTCTGTGGTTAGTATGGTCCTGGTTAGGCTGCGCACTGTCTTAAAGAACACCCTGACTGAGAGTAGAATTCACAAGGGAGGGAACCTGTTTCTGTCCAAAGATGGCAACAGCAGGAAGCGGGACGCCGGGCTCTCTGGGGGCCCTCGATCCGTCGCCCCCACCCTGCAGCCCCATCATTCCAAAGGAAATTTCATTTGAAGAGTTGTCAGGGAGCAGCAGACATCACAAACAGCGTCTCCTGTGTTGTCCTCCCTCCGCCTTGGAAGATAAAAATTAATTAGGAGATGAAAAAGGAGGCCTTTGAAAGCACTGTTTGGCTGTAAAAATATGTAGGCAAAATGTAAAGGAGAACGTTGGGAAAGAGTGTTCTTTGCAGGGAGGGCCGCACAGCTTTGAAGAAAGAGGACGTCGGAAGACAGCTTCTCCAAGCACTTAGACCTTTCTCAGTGCTGGGGGTGGGGGAGCATATACCAGGTGAGAGGGAAAGCGGCTTAGGAAAGGCGTGGGAGTGGGGCGGAGGGGTGAGAATGCCAGGTTCCCTGGGTCTCTGTGCATTGTCGGGCCCTCCCCCTTGCATCTGACCTAGGCATGCTCTCAGAGGTCATCGGCCCACAGGCTGCCACCAGGTATATGACAGACCCTTCCCTGAGCTGGAGGGTCTAGGAAGACGCTCCCAATCTCAGCTTCCAACTCCTCCTGACCTATCTGCTGGCCTCTCTCACATACAGCCTTAGCCCTGCCTTCACGCAGAAGCAGGTAGGGGGATCAA